CCCTTCGATACTATTTTGCTGGGAATGTGGCAAGCGCGGCACACGGACCTTCAAATGCTGCCGCCAGAACACGTCGGGAAACGACATGCGTCCCCAGCTGACACGGGATCAGCCGGGAACGACGCTTCCCCGAACCGCAACTGAAAAAACTTACTACATGTGAACAACGGTCGGATAGTGGCAACGGTAACCATAGGAGGACACGTAACAGAGGCTACCATAGACACCGGGGCCTCCAAAAGCTTTATCAACACCCACCAACTTGCAAGATGCCAACGCCCGCATACGCCTGGCCGACGGATCGGTCAGAGAGATCACTCAAGTTGTACGGGAGCCCATCAAGCTGGACCAACGAGAGGTACAAATACCGCTCCTAGTTTTGCCAAACATGTTGGAGCAAGTTATTGTCGGCATAGATTTCCTATGCGCCATCGAAGCCACGACCAAATGCGGCAGCACCCAACTGCAACTAAGCAATCAGTCGGCCACGCCAACTGCACCCGAAGATCCGACCAATCACATACCAGGCCCCGCGACCAGAAGCCAGAAACTTACGCCAACCGACCTACCCCAACGCCCACTACACCCAATAAAGCAACGCAGCACTCGACACCCAAACCAACTGCAACGAAAACGAAACGCCGGCCCACAACGGAGAACACGAATCCGAGGCCAACACAAGCAAACCGCAAGCAAACAAGCGGGCGAACAAGTCCCACGGCCACTACGGAGCAACCGCGTCCTAGGCCCACAACAGGGAACACGCCCCCCAAACAAACCACGAGGGTCTCACACACGAGACAAACACACTTGGACCCGGCGCTCGACACAGGAAGCCCAGGTCCAAGACAAGCAACAGAGCAAGCACGCAGAGAAACCGCATCGGAAGGAGGGAACGCACGGACACCCTCAAAACCGACCGCCAGCAGCGAAAAAGGAAAACGGCAACCACCATCCGACAGCCCAGCTCCACGGGAAACATCCACGCTAACCCCTCGCTGGACGGGGCCCATAATCGAACTGATATCCACAGAGCCCCTCAACGAGGGCCCGGAAACCAGCGATGTCCCCACGATGCCCAGATAGCCGTCCTGTCCGACCCACAGCCGACGCCACACCGATCCTCGCCAACACAATGGAGTACCTTCCGCGTACTGACATGATTCTTAGCGCCATGCATTCTTAGCCTTGTCCGAGATCTTCGTCGCCCACACAAGTCGTTTCTGCGATACCAGAGGCGTCATCGCGACTCACCTATTCACGTACCAGTCTGGCTGTAGTATAACACGAGTACTACACCCGGCGTACCAAATATCATACCCATGGTCGACACCACACCCATCGTCGCCCACATAAGCGACTACCAACGGAGGATCGAACCGCCCAGCGCCTTCGATATAACCCTCTTACCCGAAGACCCCCGCCAACCACTAGACTCCGAAGCCGCCGACCCAACAGAACATGAGCCTGAACCAGTCCCAGAGCCGTGGCCGCCAGACTTGGCCCCGCAGATCTAAGCATTTCTAGATGAAGAGCTACCAAAATTTGATGGCCTCCACGGGACGTCGGACATCGCCAAGCACACTATTGTCATGAGGGATAACCGGCCCATAAAACAGCGGTACTATCCGAAGCGAATAATCGATGAACAAGTAGACCAATTGATTTCGGAAGGCCTCATCGAGCCCTTCCGGAGCCCCCACAGCGCCCCAATTGTACTCGTCCGTAAAAAGAATAGGAAATGGCGAATGTGCGTGGACTACCGGCAACTCAACACGCATTCCATCCCGGACGCATACCCGCTACCTAGGATTAACTATATTTTGGAACGGCTACAAAACGCGCGATTCATCACCACCCTCGACCTAAAAAATGGATACTGGCAGATCCCCATGGACGACGAAAGTAGGGAAGCAACAAGACTACATCGAAGGCAAGGAGCGAGTTATCGCATACGTCAGCCGACGACTCAACGCGGCAGAGGAAAACTACTCCGCGACCGACAAAGAATGCCTAGCAGTCATCTGGTCCATCCGGAAACTCCGGTGTTACCTCGAGGGATATCGGTTCGACGTGATCACCAACCATCTCGCCCTCAAATGGCTGAACACACTGGAAAGCCCCTACGGTAAAATAGCAAGGTGGGCACTGGAACTCCAACAATACCAGTACGACGTACATTATCGGGCAGGTAAACAGAACGTAGTGGCAGATGCACTATCCCGACAACCCCGGGGAACCCTTGCGCGAGTCGAGGAAGTAAAGGTAACCTGCCCCTGGCTCATGCGCAGGATACAACAAGTTCAGGACGAACCCGAGAAATACCCCGACTACACTCACGAGAACGGGGAGTTATATCGACACCTGGGCCGCAGCACCGAGGACAATGAGGACATATCATGGAAACTTTGCGTACCAAAGGATCGTCGCACCAGAGTCCTTCAAGAATGCCACGACCAACCCACGGCCGGCCATCTGGGAATCCGTAAGACCATAACCCAAGTCTGTCAACGGTACTATTGGCCAGGATTTTACCGGGACGTAAGGAAATACGTCCGCAGCTGCACCAGCTGCCAGAAGTCAAACAGTAGTCAAATTGATAGCCGCAGAGACACCGAACCCTGGCTCTGGCCACGTATCTCCTCACAAATAGCGGTGCGTCAGCACCCCGGAAATAAAATAGTCTTAAGCACACAATTAATTAAGAACTCTCGATCAACAACACCCCACCTCTTGGGACATTGCGCAATCGACTTATTTCACAATAATTCAAGCCAGCATAAAATTATCGACTTACCACTCAACTTTCGCGATGCAGAGTTAGCAAAAACTCATTTTTTTTTTAACCAAATACCCAATTCCCAACTGCACCTTCCGGGATGCAGCATCAGCAAAACCACCCTGACCCACTAAAAATTGTCAACAAAGCACCAAGCTTCGACCTAGTTACCACACTCCACAATTATTATTATCAGCAAGAATAAATTATATTCGGGTCTCAGGTACGATCGCCAGCTACATAAAAGAGCCAAGATCGGCCGAAAGAGGCAGGCAGTCCATCAGCCCGATCACGAGACACTGACTAAGCCGTCCACCGGCTCACAGGCCAAGTAATAAGATCCGCGAGTAATCCATCGAAAAGAAACCCACAAAGAATTAAGTAATAAAAATAATAACCATAATAATAATAATAACCAGCAAAACCACAAACCACGATTTCTTGAAGTATTTTGTTAGCCACACAACGCTCCCCTGTCACCTACCTCTCTTTCGGTCAGACAAGGCCGCTCCCAACCTAAAAGTTCCAGCAATCTACAAATTTTCTTGTAGCGGACCCTGGACAGACTGATGCATACCTCAGCCTGAAATAGGACCTCACACCTCTTTGGGCGGCAGGTCCTCCGGGCTGTGCCTGGCGGAGGATGCCAGGAGCCTAGGCGTTGTGGTGCCGCTACTGGTGGTGGGGGGGACTTCAGCCGCTGGTGGGTTTGGGGCTCTGTATTTAGCGTCCCCGTAGAGGGTCGTCGCAGCTGTTCCCGCTGTCGCAGGCACTTCAGCTCACTACGGAGAACCGCGTTCTCCCGTCTGAGGAGCTGCAGGTCTCCGATAGGTTCTTCGGGTCGTCCTTCCTGGCTGGCTGCCGCTGGTAGCTGGTACAGGGCCACGTGCGATGGGATGCCCCCGGGATCGGAATTCTGGGTGGGGTGTTCCCCGGTGAAGCCGTGGTGAGCCGGGCTTTGTGGTTTCATCGTTTGCAGCGTCCGGGTGACTCGTCGCTGTTTTGCTACGGTAGAAACCTTGATGGGTTAAAACCTGCCTAGCCATTTTGTGTCTATACCCTGACCTGCCTATAGGTGCGATTTACAATTGGTTCTCTGCTTTATGATTAGTCCCTTAAGGGGAGTTATACGTATCTTCTGTGGCATGGCCGCGGTCGCTCCCCTTCGGAGCGAGGACGTTAGCCGGGCACTGCTCTAAGTGGCCCTCATGAACTCGCGTGGTTGGTGGCTCCTTTGCCCGGGTCGTCTTCGTCTGCGATGTCTTCGTGTTGGTGGCTGCTGCCATCGTGGTGGTCGTGGAAAACCTTGAGATCCGCCAGCCCGGCGGTTGGTCGCTGCCGTCCAGGGTGTTGTTGCAGCCACACTATGGTCGGGGAGATGAACTTGATGACCCGATACGGTCCCTCAAACTTTGGGGCCAGTTTTGCGGCGAAGTTGTCGGCGGCCTTGGATAGCTGGTGTTGGCGAAGCATGACCAGTGTTCCAATCACCACTCGCGCCTCCGAAGTCCGCGCATAGTATGTCCAGGGGTCCCTGGGCTTGACGGGTGTGCATATGTCCTGCAGGCTTAATCTGGCTCACCTTAAATCTCTGGTAACTCGAGCATTGTTGCACGTATCGCGCGACATCCCGATAGAGTCCAAGCCAGTAATAACGCAGGGACACAAGGCGTCGACACTCAGCGAAATCTTCCGGGTGGTACAGGAAAACACGCCGCGCGCTTCTCAAGAGCAAAGTCGAAATTATAATCTTCGGAGGCGCGAGTGGCGACCCGTGATTGGAACACTGGTCATGCTTCGCCAACACCAGCTATCCAAGGCCGCCGACAACTTCGCCGCAAAACTGGCCCCAAAGTTTGAGGGACCGTATCGGGTCATCAAGTTCATCTCCCCGACCATAGGGTGGCTGCAAAAACACCCTGGACGGCAGCGACCAACCGCCGGGCTGGCGGATCTCAAGGTTTTCCACGACCACCACGATGGCAGCAGCCACCAACACGAAGACATCGCAGACGAAGACGACCCGGTCAAAGGAGCCACCAACCACGCGAGTTCATGAGGGCCACTTAGAGCAGTGTCCTGCCCTAACGTCCTCGCTCCGAAAGGAGCGACCGCGGCCATGCCACAGTAAGATATGTATAACTCCCCTTAAGGGACTAATCATAAAGCAGAGAACCAATTGTAAATCGCACCTATAGGCAGGTCAGGGTATAGACACAAAATGGCTAGGCAGGTTTTAACCCATCAAGGTTTCTACCGTAGCAAAACAGCGACGAGTCACCCGGACGCTGCAAACGATGAAACCACAAAGCCCGGCTCACCACGGGCCAGCAGCGGGGTAGCTGTCACAGGTCTCTCACCGGTCCAGGCAGCACCACCCCACGGCTTCACCGGGGAACACCCCACCCAGAATGCCGATCCCGGAGGCATTCCATCGCACGTGGCCCTGTACCAGCTACCAGAGCTCGCCGAAGGCCCATCCACCTCCCGCGTGGCTCTACGATGGCTCGCAATAGCCGGCGACACCACTGCGGCAGCCAGCCAGGAAGGACGACCCGAAGAACATATCGGGGAGCTGCAGCTCCTCAGACGGGAGAACGCGGTTCTCCGTAGTGAGCTGAAGTGCCTGCGACAGCGGGAACAGCAGCGACGACCCACTACGGGGACGCTAAATACAGAGCCCCAAACCCACCAGCGGCTGAAGTCCCCCCCACCACCAGTAGCGGCACCACAACGCCTAGGCTCCTGGCCCGACCCTCCATGGCACAGCGACCCCAAACCACCGGGAGCAGCCACCAGCCCCGACTCAGGGAAGCTTGCCCCCTCAGCTGGCAGTGGTCGCTGTCGACGCCCCGGACAGAGCCAGTGACGGCCCCCAGCGCCACCAGGGCCACGAAGGCCTGGATCGAGGCCGCCCGAGCAGCTAAGGAGGAGCAGAGCGAGGAGGAGGGACTAGGCGAAACCGAAACTCCGGACGACAGCGGGAAAGGGTCGGAAACCACGGACGAGACCGACAGTGAGGTCCCTAGTCCATTTCCCAGCCGGGGTAACGAGGATAGCACGGAGGAGTACCCGTGGACGGAGTCGGGCATCGGCGACGGGCGAGCTACGCCACCTCTAGCGGCACAGGCAGCTACGCCACCTCCAGAGGCACGGGCCACCACGCCACCTCCGGAACCACGGGCAGACGCGCCACCTCCAGAGGCACGGGCAGCTACGCCACCTCCAGAGGCACGGGCCACCACGCCACCTCCAGAGGCACGGGCAGCTATGCCAGGGCAAGCCACACCATCCCCAGAGCCAGGTAGCGACACCCAGCCGGAAGACGACGACCTCTCGCTATGGCTATCCGGCCCCGAGGCGCAGGAATTGTCAGAGCTCTTCGAGGAGCTGCCCACCTTAGCGAATATCCAGGAGGAGCGGGATTGGGTGGAGGCACCAGAGGTGTGGCGCGTGGAAACCCCCGGTCACCCTACGGGAGAGTGCCAGCCAGCGGGCGTTGATAGTGGGACCCAGGACCCGGGAGATTAAGACACATGACGGCCAGTCTTTCGGCGTGTCAGTAAACCGAGGAGGGCAAATTTTTATAACATCCCGCCCCCCGAAGTAGGAAGGGAGTGTGAAGGCCAACCCCTTCCCAACCAACACCACCTACCCCAACACCCTCGACTACCTCAACCCTCTCTCTCTATCGCAAACCCATCTATCATATATATTTTTTCCTTATTATTATTAGTTGTATATCTTTTAGTCCTAAATCATCATCATTAAAAAGCCATAAACATAGCGCCTAGCTTTTATCTGGTGAGAACCAGGCTTTAGTGGGAACAGAACCAGCACCAGATCCAGCCCCAGAACCACCACCGGAACCAGCGCCAGAACCACCACCGCGAGCAAAAAAAGCAGAGAGCAACAGTAACGACAACGAAAAGAGAACCAACCCACCTGCCCACCAACATCAACGAGCTTGGACCGCTGCTCACGCCGTAGCGCAGGAGCACGCAACGATGAGCAGGGGAGAAAAGCGCAGACTCCCAGACGCTAGCGCGACCGAAGGAACTCCCACCCACCCACTAAGCCGAGCGCGGACCACTGCCCACACCATAGGCTCACCGGCTCCCGTGAGGAAGAGCGGTGAGAGCGAGGAAAAAGCCGAAGCACCAGCAGAGGGCAGAGAACCGAGATTTCGGGGCTATCAACGGAACGCGCAAAACAGAGGATCGGGACGCCAGTCGTAAAAAAAAAACACAGTACGGAGTGAAAGTGAAGAAGCAGCGAAGAAGCCAGGATAGAAGGATGTACCCAAAGCAGGAGGAAGAAGAGGGGTGAGCTGGTCTCACGTAGGTGAGAAGGAGAAAAGAGATAGGTGCGACGTTAGGGAAGTTGGACACACACACACACACACTCACACAGACACTAAGCTGTGTTAGCTTCCCTGTGGCTCTGCGGAGTGAATGCTCCACAGATGCGCGACGCCAAGTCAGCAGAAGGATTCGTCCGGGCGAACGTTGGAGGTACGTGGCTGTACAGCTGCTACCTGGCGCCCAGTCTCTCGCTGGAGAGCTTCAGCAGGATCCTGGACGATCTGTGCAGCGACCTGAGAGGACGGAGCAACGTCGTGGTCGGGGGCGACTTCAATGCCTGGGCCCAGGAATGGGGGTCCTCCCGTACCAATGCCAGAGGTCGCACGGTGCTAGAGGCTTTCGCCACGCTGGACATCGTCCTGATAATCGAAGGGTCCCGGCAAACCTTCAGCAGGGCAGGCACGGGGTCAGTCATTGACATCACATACGCCAGCAGCGCGCTGGCACGCCACGCTCGATGGAAGGTCAGCGAGGTCTACACCGCCAGCGACCACGAGGCAATCCAGTGCTCGGTGGGCGTGCCTGGGCGAGAGGCAGAACCTCCCCCCAAGGAAGGCGTACCGGCAGGACACGCTGAAGCCGCAGATCTTCGCAGGCGCACTGGGGGAGCTTCTCGGCGACAGAAGTGGATGGAGCCAATGAGAGGGCCAACAAACTGACCTCAGCATTGGAGGGCGCATGCGACCAAAGCATGCTCCCGAGGCGGACATTCCGGTCGCACCAAGTGCCTGTGTTCTGGTGGAGCGAGGAGATCGCTGAACTCCGCAGAACATGCCTCCGCGCCAGAAGGCTTCTGCAACGGGCTAGGGGCACTTCGCGCCTGGACAGCTGCAGCGAGCGCTACAAGGCGGCAAGAAAGGAGCTGAAGACAGCCATGAGGAGCAGCAAGAGGGAATTCTTTCTCAAGCTGTGCGATGCAGTTGAAGAAGATCCCTGGGGACGTGCGTACCGATGGTGGTGAAGAGGATCAACGCGGGAGGCAAAGCCCCAGCTGATCCCAAGGAGCTGGAGGGGATAGTTGGCGCCCTGTTCCCACGAGGGCAACGGGTCGTGAGCTCTCCACGGTCGGAGTTAAGACGAGGCGAGATATCCGAGGACACGGAAGACGAGGTACGGCGTGCGGGCAGACGCCTAAAGCCCAAGAAGGCACCGGGCCCAGATGCGATCCCCAACAGGGCGCTAAAGCTGGCGCTAGCGCTGCTCCCGACGGAGGTTGCTGGCCTGTTTAACCAGTGCCTACAGGAGGGCACGTTCCCCGAGAGGTGGAAGAGGCAGCGGCTGCTCCTTCTAGCGGCAGCCTTCAGCTCTGCCTTGCTGATTCCTGCTTCGTCGTCCTGCAGGGCGTCGTAAATTTCTCTGTGCTCCCGGATCAGCTCCCCCTAGAGGAATATGCCCGGCGATGACCAGCGCTGCCTCGTCCGAGATGGTCCGGAACGCGCATGCGATCCTGATGGCGCATAGCCGATACGTGGCCTCCAGCCCCCGCATATAGCTTTTCACCGTTGCGGCCTTCGCCCACACCGGCGCGGCGTAGAGCATTTGCGCCGTTACAACGCTCGTCAGCAGCTTCCTCGTTGCCTGTTTTGGGCCTCTGGTGTTGAGCAGCAACCTCGAGAGCGATCCTTCGGTTCCGCTGGCCTTCTTGTTGATATACTCCAGGTGCTCCTTGAAGGATAGCCTCGTGTCTATGTGGACACCCAGGTATTTAATCGACCTTCGGGAGGTGATCGTGGTCCCTCCGACCTGCACGATGGCAGTCTCCACCGCTTTCCGGCTCGATATGAGCACCGCCTCCGTCTTGTGGGCCGTCAGCTCGAGGCCTGCTACCGCTAGCCACGATTCCACGGCTTGGATAGCCTCGTTGGCGAGGTTTTCCACGGCGGCAAGAGGAGGTGGGACAGCTCCCAAAAAGGGCGCTAGACGCACTCCCTCATCCCACACATCTCGTCCTGGGTCGGAAGGAAGCACGGGCAGGTAGACCACTACCTAACCCAGGCGCTGAGCGGGCATGGCTGCTTCCGCAGCTACCTCAAGCGCTTTGGGCACGATACGGAGGACTGCTGCCCGGAGTGCGGCTCTGGCATAGTGGAGGACGCTCAGCACGTCCTCTTCGAGTGCCACCGGTTTGCATACGAGCGACAGGAGCTTGAAGCCATTGCAGGGTCTGCAATATGCGTCGACAACCTGGTGCCGCTGATGCTGGCAGACCAGAGGATCTGGGAAGCTGCCGCGGTGTTCGCCGCGAGCGTTATGAAAACGCTCAGGGCCATGGAGAGAAGGCGGAAGGAGCAAACGGAGTAGGTGTCTCCGCGCGGGCGAAGCAATGCCTTGCGGCAGTACCGCTAGTCGCACGACCCCTACCCCATCTGTCCCCCAACTGTTCGTATCATACTGTACTGTTCTTAGGTATAAGCACTATTGAGGAAGCCATTAAATGAATACAAAAAAAACAGACACTAAGCTAGTAGGCAGGAAATAAAGAAAATTATTAAAACGCACACACATTCGTTTTTATATATGAACATTTGTAGTTTTGTTTGATTCCGTTCCTCCGCCCTGCTACCCAAGCGTGGAGCCGTAGTCCGCTACCTTCCCGTCCCCTTCCCCCCCCCCTACGCCTACCCTCCTTCCTCCCGGGGATGCCAGCTAAGTGAGACAGTACGCGGATGCCCCTGTCTTCACGAACCGGGCTAATTCCCCTTCCTCTAACCTATCCTCCTCCATATCCAGGTACAGTCAGTACCTCGTGCTCCGTCCCCGCACGCAAGCGCTGCTAGGCGTTCCACTCCAACGGGGTCTGCATCCCATGGATCGGGCCCGATGTCCATATCGACCACGCGGTTTTCCACCACTACCCATAACCCTGGGCCAGCGCCGCCCCACGTCACTCCCTGCCCAGGCGGCACCTCGCCCCGCCGACAAGCCTCCCCGACCCCGTCTCTATGGTCTTTAATACAAATTTTTGCTGTATTGAAGACCGGGCTTGGACAGACTGAGAGACTGTACCTTGGCTGGGAAACTTCATTACAGCCGCTTAACAGGATGGAAGGAAGGATGTCGGCTCTGATCAGAACATCTATCTGTGAGCTCTCATAGAATGTAGGGTCTGCTAGTGCCAGGTTCGGTAAGTCTCGCAGCGCACTTTGGGGGATCGGATATGAAGGGAGATTGTCGGCAATGTCTGGCAGGACGTAGGCCATGGCGTTTAATTGTACGCCCGGCGTAGTCAGGGAAGGGATGGAAAAATCGCAGAGCTTCTTGGACTGAGCTGCTCCAGTTTAATTAAGACCTGAAACTTGGGCATGAATAAGGCGGAATGGTAATTTGATAATATTGAAGAGACGTTCCGATCAGAGCACGGGCACGGAAATTTGTCCCCAGGTGGGAATTGTTGATTATAGCAGTGCCGAGAAGCACAGCCCTTGTTCCTGAGGCAAAATAATACTGAACGTTGGCATGGCTGCTTCCGCAGCTACCTCAAGCGCTTTGGGCACGATACGGAGGACTGGTGCCCGGAGTGCGGCTCTGGCATAGTGGAGGACGCTCAGCACGTCCTCTTCGAGGAAAAAGCCGAAGCACCAGCAGAGGGCAGAGAACCGAGATTTCGGGGCTATCAACGGAACGCGCAAAACAGAGGATCGGGACGCCAGTCGTAAAAAAAAAACACAGTACGGAGTGAAAGTGAAGAAGCAGCGAAGAAGCCAGGATAGAAGGATGTACCCAAAGCAGGAGGAAGAAGAGGGGTGAGCTGGTCTCACGTAGGTGAGAAGGAGAAAAGAGATAGGTGCGACGTTAGGGAAGTTGGACACACACACACACACACACTCACACAGACACTAAGCTGTGTTAGCTTCCCTGTGGCTCTGCGGAGTGAATGCTCCACAGATGCGCGACGCCAAGTCAGCAGAAGGATTCGTCCGGGCGAACGTTGGAGGTACGTGGCTGTACAGCTGCTACCTGGCGCCCAGTCTCTCGCTGGAGAGCTTCAGCAGGATCCTGGACGATCTGTGCAGCGACCTGAGAGGACGGAGCAACGTCGTGGTCGGGGGCGACTTCAATGCCTGGGCCCAGGAATGGGGGTCCTCCCGTACCAATGCCAGAGGTCGCACGGTGCTAGAGGCTTTCGCCACGCTGGACATCGTCCTGATAATCGAAGGGTCCCGGCAA